AAAAAAAAAAAAAAAAAAAAAAAAAAAAAAAAAAAAAAAAAAAAAGGAAAAAAAGGCATCCTTATGCATATTTTTCTCTGTTTTGCATATCCTTCAGTGAGAACCTCAGGGAGATTACCTTGTCCCTAGCTATGCATTGTTTGCAAAATCAATGCTATATTTGCTGCAACAATGAGTGCTGAATGAAGTTCAGGTAAAAGAAGGGTCTCACAATATGTAAAGATATTAATTCAGAAATTCAGACAGTCCTTTTTTATTCCTTCCCTTTCCTTTTCCCTTTCCTTTTCCCTTTCCCTTTTTTCCTGCAGCTCATAATTCCCTTAAGTTTAAAAATGTTAGTTTGAAGACCATTAATTCAGATTGCTGCCTTAGCTTAAAGAATAATATGGGAAATTCTGTTTTTTAAAGGCAGTTATTAAGAGATATTCTGTCTTTCTATTCAGAGGAGCACATTTTTCCTACATATTCCATTGTTAATTTTTTATGAAGGTCATAGATGAATAATTATACCAATTATTCAGAAACTTCATATGAAATTATTTCTTAAACTCCTAAAATATTTGATATAGTCATACAAAGTAATTGCAGAAACCTCTCAGTACTTTCTACTGTTTAATTAAATATATCTGAGAATTACTTTGATTTTTTACATTTTAAGTGTTCTAATCCATAATATTACAACTGCCCTCTACAAGAAAAATAAAACAGAGAAATTAAAAAATTTATCACTTCTGAAGCATATAGAAATGTTATAATAATTGCTGTTATCGAGGTTTTAAATGTTGTGATAGTGTAAGTCTTCAGTTCTTGAGCCTTGCTTGTGTTATAAATTTTGCTGTTTTCTGTCTTTTCTGTTATAAATGTAAAATTTGTTCTATGTCTTAGATAAGTTTATTGGATGTGCTGTGAACAAAGTAGATGAAATGTTGAGTTTTCTGATTAAGAGAGATTTAATTTTGCGATGTATGATATTGACTGTGCCTCGTACTCTATTCCTAGTGAACACACAGTAGATACATAATTCGTTTGATCTTTATTCTTTCTCCCCAGGATTAGTTATCAGTTTGCACTATGGGGTGTCAAATTGAAAATGCAAGCCAACACTATAAAAATTGAGTGTTGGAGGACAGAAAGAGGAGAAGGTTCTGAAATTACCCAAGGTTCCAGACTAATCATTGATGTTCTTGATGTCCAAAATATTGGATTGACTGAAAGCAGTCAGAAAATTAGAGCTGCAAAATAAAGTGTACTGACTCTAGTGACATAGTGATAAAGTTAGAATGTGTATCTCGCTCTCCAGGAATCAAAAAAAGTGGAAGGGAGGGGTTGACCTTCACATGGAAATGAAATTTTCATTACTACCTAATCCAAGCATTCAGTCTTTGTGAGGGAGGCTGCAAAAACCTGCAAATAGGTATATAGATAGATGACAGACAGATACATAGACAAATAAGGAAATAAATAGCCCTGACTTCCAAGTATAGTAATGAACACATGCCAAATAATTTTTATTTCTTTCCATTTACTTCTAGGGAGCATCTGAATCACATTTCTAAACATTTCTATCAAGAGATGCTAAAACACATTTTTTTGTTAATGTTTATTTCTACTGAAAATTGACATTCTCATCCAGCCTCTTGAATCCAGCAGGTGTCAGATTAAGACACACATAAAAGCATAATGTTCAGGATCAGTTTTCAAAATTCAGATCAAGGATATATGGATGGGTCTGCCGGACCAAACAATCAGACTGTGGAATAGAGAGAGCTTTGTGGTACCTCATTAGCTGGCAAGCTTTGACTGAATGACTTGATTCAGGTGGCAATATGGGAAAATGACATGCAAGCCGCTCAGGAACTTTGGGCGAAGTGTCAGCTATTAAGAAACATAAAGCCTTCAGGAACTCTTAGTTTCCTAAGTAAGACTTGCTTTGTCTGAGTAGATGAGAGTGTACAGTTGATGTCTCAGGACATGCCTCGCTTCCTTTATATAGAAGGAAAAGGTGGGAGTATACTAAACTGGACTTGAATTACCAAGGAATAGCCTTTGACTGAGTTCCCAGTGGGTCAAGTACCAGTCTTTTTTTGTCGCAAAAGTTACAGTGAACTATTAGCCTATAACTATTTTCTATTTTAGTCTTGAAAATCAGTTGCAGGAATTTTTTGTAGGATATATTTCTCTTATGAATACATAAAGGGCTTCTCAGATTGTCTACACATTGCTTTCATAGGTGAATGCCAGCAGCATGAAGACCTCTGTCCAGGTGCAGTGTCTTAAGCTGCTTAACGAAGTGTTAATGGTATGAGAATGAAAAACTGCTGGGTTTGTACGGTGAAGCTGATGTTGAGGATAGACTCGGAAAATCCTAAAAGGCAATCTTGACATCATTGTTGCA